CAAGGATGAACTCAACTCTTTCACATTTCTCCCTCCGTGTGTCTGGTGACCCAGAAGCGATGACTCGTGGAATATATGGCCTGGGAGTTGCACTCAGCCCCAGAGCTGAACGCGCTTTGCTGTATTGGATCCCAGTGAACAGTCGTCTTTGAGACGTCCGGTTATCCAGTTCATTCAAGCTCAATGCCTCGGCATAAAAAGCGGTGCCTGTTTGTTGTGCCGGCTTATGCCCCAACGGACTGCAGTTCTGTTGCTGGGAAGGATACTTTCTATCTGGAGCTATCCGGGCTCATTCGTAAAGCAAAAAGTACTGACATTGTGATCCTTGCAGGTGATTTCAATGTTCAAGTAGGTCGTCTGAGCCCATTGGAATCACATTTGGGCGGTCGATTCGGAGTCAATGCTCGCCGCACAAACAACGGAGATCGAGTCCTTCAGTTACGTGCTGATCATGAACTACTTCCGGCAAGTGCGAAGTTTCAACACAACCGTTCGCACCTCGTAACCTGACACGTGCACATTATCGCAGCTGGACAGGGAAGGCACATAACATCAACCGAAACAAAACTATCAAGTCGCTCAGCTAGTTGGTGGTCTGAGAACTTACCACCCCGGTTTGAACGTACGCATTACATGCGCGATCGTCTCTCCTCAGGCCCTCGCAAGTCAGCAAGGATGCTAAACCACCATCTTCAAAGAACTATCATAGCTCAACAATTTCGATCTGAGCTAGCCCAACCTCCTTCCACAGTAAACTAGCACCGTACTGGTAGTGAGCACGTGGATGAAACACGGCAAAATGTGAAAGGAGTTGTGCTGGCGGTGTTCATTGCTGTCTGTCTGACTTCTCCGATTCGACCACAAGACCACTGGATTTCGACGAGATTGTTATCCATGATCGATGTCAGGAAATCCATACCAGCAGGCAATGAGTACGACGGCGTACGCAAATCCCTCAAACGCCAAATGTTGAAAAGTCTAAGAAAAGACCAAGAGCTCTGGTGGACATCGAAAGCTCGCGAGATGGAGAAGGCTTTTGCTACGGGAAACAGCCGTGCCCTATATCAACTGATACGATCGACTGGCCCTAGGATGGCAACGTTCAGCGAAACGATAAGTGAAAAGAATGGCTCAATAATTCACTCGCGAAAACGTCGGCTGGAAGGATAGGCCGAACACTCTGAAGAACAGTTCAGCTGGCCTGCAACACAACCTGTAGAGATAGTGTATACAGGCGAATGGAATGTAAACCTTGGTAGCCCTTCGGAAGAAATAAAGTGCGAAATATCCGTGCTAAAACGTGAAAGCGCACCAGGACCGGGAGATCTGTATCCGGCTCTCTTCAAAGAAGAGGGAGAATCCTTAGCGATTCATCTGACAAAGCTTATTGGTGCTATATGGAACGAAGAGGTGCCTGCAGAGTGGGGCATATCGACAGTTATCCCTGTCTTCAAAAAGAGTACGCGGACGCTGTTTGAAAACCATCGTGACATCGGCCCATTAGCTGTAGCATCGAAGGTGCTCTCTTGTCTTATCCTTCGAAGGTTGACTAAACATAGGGAGAGACGGATTTGTAAAAGCCAAGCTGAGTTCCGTCCTACAAGAGGATGCATCAATCATATCTTCATCCTGCGACAAATTCTGGAACAGCGATACGGTTTCCAGCAACCGACAATTGTTGTGTTTCTTGATCTGAAAGCTGCCTGTGACTCTGTGGACCGTCGGGCACTATGGCAGTGTCTGTGGAACAAAGGCGTCCTTCATAAATTCTTGGCCCTTCTTGGCCAACTCCCGCGGTCGTGTGAAAGTCCATGGGCAGCTCGTGCCTGAGTTCACCACATTAGGTGGTGTCAGGCAGGGCTGTCCTCTTTCACCTTTCCTTTTCAACTTCGTCATTCCTGTGATCATGAAAGACCCACTACCAGCCTGTAATGCCTGTGGGGTCGAAGTTCTCCCGGGGCGTCCGCTCGCAGATATCAAGTACCCAGACAACACAGTTCTTCATGTGTCTGATGCGGCAGTAGTACAATCAATAGAGATGGAGAAGGCTTTTGCTACGGGAAACAGCCGTGCCCTATATCAACTGATACGATCGACTGGCCCTAGGATGGCAACGTTCAGCGAAACGATAAGTGAAAAGAATGGCTCAATAATTCACTCGCGAAAACGTCGGCTGGAAGGATAGGCCGAACACTCTGAAGAACAGTTCAGCTGGCCTGCAACACAACCTGTAGAGATAGTGTATACAGGCGAATGGAATGTAAACCTTGGTAGCCCTTCGGAAGAAATAAAGTGCGAAATATCCGTGCTAAAACGTGAAAGCGCACCAGGACCGGGAGATCTGTATCCGGCTCTCTTCAAAGAAGAGGGAGAATCCTTAGCGATTCATCTGACAAAGCTTATTGGTGCTATATGGAACGAAGAGGTGCCTGCAGAGTGGGGCATATCGACAGTTATCCCTGTCTTCAAAAAGAGTACGCGGACGCTGTTTGAAAACCATCGTGACATCGGCCCATTAGCTGTAGCATCGAAGGTGCTCTCTTGTCTTATCCTTCGAAGGTTGACTAAACATAGGGAGAGACGGATTTGTAAAAGCCAAGCTGAGTTCCGTCCTACAAGAGGATGCATCAATCATATCTTCATCCTGCGACAAATTCTGGAACAGCGATACGGTTTCCAGCAACCGACAATTGTTGTGTTTCTTGATCTGAAAGCTGCCTGTGACTCTGTGGACCGTCGGGCACTATGGCAGTGTCTGTGGAACAAAGGCGTCCTTCATAAATTCTTGGCCCTTCTTGGCCAACTCCCGCGGTCGTGTGAAAGTCCATGGGCAGCTCGTGCCTGAGTTCACCACATTAGGTGGTGTCAGGCAGGGCTGTCCTCTTTCACCTTTCCTTTTCAACTTCGTCATTCCTGTGATCATGAAAGACCCACTACCAGCCTGTAATGCCTGTGGGGTTGAAGTGCTCCCTGGATCTCCGCTCACGGATATCGAGTACTCAGACGACATAGCGCCTCTTGGATCTGGCCCCGTTGTAAGTCAAAATATATTAAATAATCTAAGTAATTCTCCCGGGCATAGGCTTTACACCTGCAAAGACTGGGTGGGCTCGAATGCTAGCCTCATGCTTGCAGATGAACCGATTGAGATAGTAGACAAATTTGTTTATCTGGGCAGTTGTATCAGTCCCGGCGGTCTCGCGAAAGATGATATTTCCGCCCGGATTTGGAAGGCCAGAGCAGCTTCTTTGAACCTACGTCACCTGTGGCGTAGGTGTGACATCAGCTTCTCTGTCTAGGATCGAGTTTACAATGCTGCGCTGCGCTCCGTATTACTATATGGATCAGAAACCTGGCCGCTGTGCGCCGAGGACGTCAAAAAAACTTTCAGTGTTTGACCATCGATGTCTTCGGATCATTGCCCGAATCTGGTGGGAACACCGGATCAGCAATGCCAAAGTACGTCGAATGGTATTCGGGAGAAATAACTCACCCTCGATAGATGAACTGATCACACTGCATAGATTGCGCTGGATTGGCCACGTGTTGCGTATGCCAGTCGACCGACTTCCTCGAAGGACTCTTTTCGCACAACCACGTGAAGGATGGAGGTGGCCAAACAATGACTTGGCAGCGAAGTATAAAAGCCATTACCAGAAAACTCAGCTGCGCTGGTCACTGCCGTCTTCCTGGATGGGGACCCCGAGACGGTCCACATCAATGGTTAGAGACATTGTCAGACATGGCTCAGTCGCCCTTTCAATGGCGCTCATGCATCCAAGCTATTGCCTTCAATGCATAACTCCCTTCCCGATCCTCCCACTCCATTGACTGTGATGTACTTACGCATCAATTTATCAGCTCCCGCCTCCAATATGCAGCTATCTATCCTATCTTTGGCAGCCGCAAGCACTGTACAGCAAGTATTCGGTTGTTACAGCTGACAATGACGATGAGAATCGGCCAAGGTGCAAAATTTGGTTTTTCAATCACGGGCCTTCCAGCCAGTAATTTCAGGCCTCAACAATTGAGGTATCTCAAGGTTTTCTTCACTATCGTATGCTATTTCTGCAACAATTCTTGTACTTTTTTTTCATTTTCCCTTACTTATGTATGCCAACTGAGCTCGGAAAAGCTTTGGGGCTGGAACGAGTGCTGGTGGTTAGGTAGGTGGTTTCATACGCACCTCTCCCAGGTTGCTTCTTCCCAAGTCTTGTCCATCTGTCAGTGTTTGAGCCTTCTCGTTACCCTCGGGCTGTATAGCAATACAGAAGTAGTTGATAGATATCGTGGCCCACAGGCTTTGTCCTACCCCTATTAATGTCTTTACTACCACGTCTTTTCCAGATAATCATTCGGTTTCCGCATTCGTTCTTTTTATGACCACTGTTACGGCGACTTCCGCCTGCTACTGGTCTGACGGTGACTTTTGTGTATACAAATGCGCTAGCACAAATGCCTATGCCCTCGGATTTCTGAAAACACTTGATGTGAACAACCGTCAGTGTACCGTCGTTTCGTGTGCCTCTGGTGTGGAACGGCAGCTATCATCAGACGACTTGTTGGCACTCACCCCAGACACAATCAAGTTGGTCACAGACCCGAATCTGCACAAACTATCGTTGGATGTATGGTCTAATTGCCTCGCGCTCACTACCTCTTCTTAGCAAAGACTTGACTCGACTTATTTTACCCAGAAGCTTGGAAAAATGACGTCCGCCATGGCAGGAAAGGTTAGTTTGCTCCTCGTCATCTATCTCTTCATTTCTCTCAGTCTTCTGTCACCTACATGTACAGTTGTCATTTGAAGTGACCTCTTCTGAGAACTGGTATCTTCTGGTGCTGGTTGGCTGGTATCTCAGCGTCGGTTCACTTTAAGCGGCACAATCGTCTCCGAAGCATTTTGAGGTCCGTTTTTATCTGGTGATAGTCAGTTCAAAAATCCATCGGATGGTTTATGGAATGATCGCTTTCCCTGCGATGGAAGAATAACACTCGTGCTTTTTGGCTCACGTACTCATCATTCAGTAAGACTAACAGCTCTTACTGAAATCGCCTTGCAATATTATAGGAAATTAAACAATCTGAATCAGGAGGGTAAAGTTCAGTAACAGTCGCGGACAAACTTCCGATATCGGTTGCCGAAGAAAGACTCACAAAAGTTGGACGCCTTTGGCGACTGCTAAAAGATCACAGTGTGCTCAGCCAGCACATGGCAGATCAAAGAAACTAATGTCTGCCCGCCCGACCTAAGACGTCTTTTATTACGTGCCCAAAAGGACCCGTTTGCTTGTTTCTTTTCAACAGCATAATAGGAAGTGAAGTGTTTTAAAAACGAGATAATCTGCAACGTTTCAAACCAAAATACCAGACTCAGAACATGCCACTCTAAAACACGGAAAGTCAAATGTTCTCGCGTGGAAACCACGACTCCCTGGTCGCCACGTGGGCTAGATGGCTCAGTGGTTAGAGCGCGAAGTTCCTGGCCGGATCGTCTGTGGTTTGAACCCGACCTCTGCCTGTCGACTTCCTCTGTGTAAGCTTGGGCAACCTGGCAGTATCCCAGCCCACGTGCTTCCTTCGGGTGGTATGGCAGTTTAGCACCGAAAGGGTGCCACCGCCGAATGATTTTTTTCATTTGATCATCACTTACTTGGATTTTTTTGACTTTATCCGTTTGGAAGATCTCATCATTAGCCTAATTCTATCTGAACTGAATGACTACCCGCAACAGCTGATCATTGAGAATTTCTGTATGTTTGACCTATGATGTAATCACAACGTGTGCTGTATGCTGGCAAAAATGCATACCAATAATGGAATCCAACCTAATAATAATAACTGAAATAATCGTTCAGCTCTAACACCCCATCGGTGCCTGCCTGCCTGCCTGCCATGCCACCCGCAAGAAGCACAAGAACTGAGATGCTGACAGGCTGTCACAGCCTGAGAATGAACAGTCAAAATGCAGAGCAGATCGGGTTCGAACCACGGGCCTTAGTCAATAAGTCCGCACCTTAACTAGTGAGCCATTTCTAACTGTAGGAGCAAGAAATGCGGACTGCTCGTCGCTGGTTTGTCGTGTTGATGCATTTCCGACCGAATAAACTAGGAGGCTAGCAATTACAAGTCACAAGTGGGATGTAGTAACACTGACTTGAATTCTGGCTGCAACCGAATGGTGTCCAGGCGATCGGACGGCGACATCAATCCAATACCTTATCAGCCGGAAGATCGCGTTTGTACAAGACTACCCGCTTGGACGCACAAATTTTCTTTCATACTATCAACATGACATTGAATTGGTCGGACACGAAAGAAAGAAAGCGTTCAGCTGTAGCACCCTTCCGGTGCCTAGCTGCCATGCCACCCGAAGTAAGCACGAGGGCTGGGATACTGCCACGTTGCCCAAGCCTAGACAGGGGAAGTCGAGTGGCGGGGGTCGGATTCGAACCACGGACCTTCCGGTCAGTAAATTCGCGCTCCAACCACTTGGGCCGTCTCGCCACGGAATTATGCCGATGTCGACTACATCTGTGTGATTTGTTGATGATTCCGCCACGAAGATACTGGACCTTACCGTGGTGTGACGGTTTGCGCACCCATTGGGCTATACTGGGGGGTGTCTCCGCGTCACTCACAGGGTCCCATACCAGGTTGGTCAATGGTTAGGGGTCTGACGAACAGTCTCCTCCAGATTGGGGGTTGGAACGTGTGGCGACTTGTTCCGTAGAAATAGTAATGCATTTGAATTTCTCGCCGAACACTGCTGCCTTGCGGTTGGGCTTTGTAGCCAAAGGCTTTGGTTGAGGACTCTAATCGTCCTTCTGTCTAGGAGTGGGCGCCCTGACACTATCCCAGCCTACGTAAAAACATGAATTACATATACAAATAAACTCATGCCCCATCGGTCGGCGCGCGGTGCCATCAGCCGGGTCGCCTTACTCGCTGCATACAGCAGGGCGATATCGTCATCTTAGGCTGTCCGTAACTACTGACAAACACAAAATTATCCAATCTGTTTAAAAATGACCCTGGCTATGCTCTTGTCCGTTCCTATGGTAGGTTGAGGTCGTCCTAGGGTCACACCCGCGATATATTTTTTAACAAAGGCTCAACTCATGTCCCCAGGGGAGTCATGGAAAGTCTACCTATCGTGACGTCCATCGAAATGGACAACTGACAAATGAGTATGCCCATAAAGTCCAACAAGTGGTATTTGGGATGGGGACATTCAAGCCCAATGTGAAGCAAAGTTCGAGATTTCCTGATTGGTCACAATGTTCCTCTGGTTTTACCTTTGATACTATAATTGAGGTGGACTTTCACCCTATCGGTCATAATTTCAATGTGATTCATCAAACAGGTGAGTTTCTTTGTATATTTAACAGCTGATCGTATTAATGGTCTTTCTTGTGATTTGGATCACTCCTTGGAGGGCGTAGTCGTGGACCGGTTAGGGTGAGAGGAATTGGTTAATTGCATCTATGGACAAAGTAGTGTGACGGTAAATGACACCTGATTCCCCAGACCGGCCAAGGGGGCTTGTTCACGGTATCCCACCTTGAGCTTTTGATTCGAAAGCCTGACCCACATTGCAGTGAAGTTTTGTTGAGAGACCCTCGCTCTAGCCTGTAACTCAAACTTCCGGGGCAGCACTTGTTAGGGTTTTCCCGAAGGGTCCTTCTCGGAACATTGACCAAGTCGTCTGACCGAGTTGGCTTCACAGGTTTGCTTGGCCCGAGGTCGCAGAGAGTAAGGCTTAAGTGTCTACCCCTTAATGGTGCTAAACACAGTAGGTTCATCTAGATTAGTATCGGTTTCTTGATAAGTTTTGTATTTCGCCATCGGTCACGGCCAGCCGTTGGGCAATAATAGTGTGTGATTTCAGGACCGACCTTCACAACCCATCCTCCCTCGGGGGAAGACAACATCGCTAGTCCTGTAGGTCCGGACGTGCTGGTCGCCCACGGGGACACCTTACTTCCTTCATGCTCCTTTACCCCCCGGACCACCTTGCAGTGCGATTACTTGTGGTGTGTCAGCTCATGGTCTGACTACTCTCCGTTATTTTTCCTGGCATGTTTTCATGTTGTGAAGAGAGAAAGGTTCAGCCAGTGTAGCCCATCATTTCAACACTGTGGTTTGACCACGTCAAAGTGTTAGCTTTTGGTCAGGGGACTATTCCGAGAGGCGCTACGATCTCCCACTCGGATTGGTCGCATTTAGCGCCGATTCTCGTGCGAATGAACACCACTTGTATCCGCATATTTGGATTGATTTCGGTACTGCTTAACTCTAGTAATGCCCGTTAGAATTGGTCGAATGAAGTCAGTCCATTTTGATGGTAGCCTGTTTCTGTTCACATGTATCACTTATCCTTTTCGAAAAAGTTTGGTGACAATCGGTAGATTTATTGCTGGGCAACGTTTCGCTTTTGACACAAAAGCTTCGTCAGGCCAAGTGACTAGGTTCCGAGGTTGATCGAGATTTAAGGCGGAAGGAGAACCAATCAGCTAAGTCAAGCTAAATCTCTGTTGGGTGTCGGCCGAGGGATTTTAGTGTGTTAGAGTGGTTGAACAAGTGTTGGGTCGGTGGGGAAACCTACATGTGTTTGGGTCCTGCCTAGGGTCTAGTTCTTCTGGTTCGGTTCATTTGATGGTTCCTCTTGAACTTCGTTTGAACCTTCTGTTAGTCTGTGTGGGTGAGCTAGTGCTAAGAAAGTTGTGTAAGAGGGATGCTGTGACCTTTGGTCGGTTGGGGTTTCCACCCCCATCCCCCGGTTTTTTCTAATGATCCTAAGTGGATTGACAACCACGCCGTCACATGTCAACTCGGCTTATCTTAGACCGCTTTCCATACGCTCGCTAGCTCCACACCCTCGATTCTATTCACACTGTGATGCTTAGTAATTTCCACCGCCTCGGCTATCAGCCGCTGTGGTGTGAATCGCAGTCCTCGTCTCAAAACTTCCACATTCTCCAGATCTATTCTATGTCCCGTGTCTAAGGCATGTACCGCCATCGCTGAGTCTTTGACCAGCGTTTGGTATTCTTCTGCATTCCTTGGTGGTTTGTTAATCTTTTTTTTATGCTCATCAATTCTGGTGTGCAATTCCTTAGCAGTTTGTCCTATATAAAGCTTAGTGCAATCGTTGCAGTTAATTTTGTACACACAGTCCCTAGTCCTTTCAACCGACAGGGGATCTTTCAATTGCACCAAAACTGAGCGTAGCGTTTTTTCAACACTCATCCTTTTCCTCTTCGTACCCTGTTTTGTAGCTATCGAAAAAACTTGCAAAATCAAAACCACCAGAGCCTGCCAAAGTAGTACCGTCCACTAGTTGGACTGTGGGCCAGATGTGCATCTGTATGTGGTCCGAGGATGAGGGCTACTACTTCGGTACAATCCAAGAAGCTCGCCCAGAAGAAGATCAATACATCGTCAGCTTCTGTTACTATAACAATACCGAGCTGAAACGAGCAGCCGATCTGCATGAGTTGGGCTCGGATTTCGAGCTTCTCGTGGAAGATGAGTACAACAAAACAGCTGCCGGGAGATTGCGGGTATGATCACGGTGGTTGAATAATGATATCTTCTTTTGCCATTCTAGAAGCGTCCGACGTTCCATCGGAAAGCCGAACAGGTGATGACAGATGATGTAGAACAAACGTGAGTACAAGCACGCGTGGTGTTGTGTTACAGAGGCTTGTGTGTTTGTGTGTGAATGAATCCATTTTCTTCCCACCACATCGTCCCTGATTTATCAGCGAGCACCTCCAACTAGTTGGCGCTGCTCTGAAACTTGTAGGATTTTTCGCGTTTGAGAATCAAGGGAGAAGTGTACGTGAGTGAATGGATAAACGAATCCATCAATCAGTGACTGGAGGGAGTGTGTATGTGTGTGAGATGACTCAAGTTAGAGCGCGAATCCATCAGTCAGTGACTGGAGGGGGTGTATGTGTGGGATCTTCGTAAGA